ACTACACTAACCAAAGCCTCAGCGCTGCCGGGTAACACCTTAATAAATAAACCTTGCTGTGGTGGTGCTGAGAGCAGAGCCTGCTGTGCTGTCTCTCCACTCTTTTTCCTGGAATTCACAGGCTGCTCATATACACTTGGTTTGCAATTATAAACCACAGTATTTCCACTGCCTTGTCAGGGTCCTGGGTGCCTCCARCCTCTCCGAGTGCTCTTGGTGGTGGTGAGCATCATTCCATGCTGGTTTGGAGCAGTAGCAAGGAAGGAACAGACTTGGCAGGATCTGGTACTCATCTGGCTGGTTTTCTCCCTGATGGGTTGATATACTAAAAAATTGCTGAGGAGCAGTGCAGGATAATATGGCATGGACKGGAATAGTGAAAAATGGATTTGGCATCCCGAGTCTGTGGTAATTACAAAGACAAGCCTCAGGCTGATCTCCTGAGAGCCCCTGACCTTGGCGAGATGGAAGTGTCTGTGTAAATTAAGGAGTGTGCCTGGAGTTGTGTGAGGATGTGGTCTGAACTGGCTGTTCCCCGGGTGGCAGGTCCCCCCTTTCCTTGTGAGTTTAAAAAACCTGAGGAGAAAACCGAGCTGTGGTGCTGGGGGTGAGAACGGGGTGAGCCAGGCTGGGTAACCTGGCTCATCCCACACCAGCAGGGATGGGATGGGATCCTCTGATGGGACCAGCTGTAAGCTGCTGACTCCCTGCCTTGGCAGCCGAAATGCAGAATTATCCTTTCCTAGGCATAAATAGAGGAGTGAAAACCTTTGCTATGTCATGTCTTTTGCTGCTTTTGCCTGTGTTGGCCAAAGAAAAGGTGAGGTGTGTGTCTCGTTGCTTCTTTTGTAGCTATGGTACGGAAAGTGGTCAGTGCAATTAAAAATCCCTGGTTTTGGAAGCCAAAGCCAAACAGCGTTGTCAGGAAAGTGTTCTAGTGAAGCCCTCTATCCTCTGCTCTTGGTCAGTCCTGCAGTTTCCTCAGTGTGCCAGGTGCCCCATCGTCCCAGTTCCACCTTCTGTTGAGTTTATATGGCGCACTTTAGCAAAAAGCTTKGGCAAAAAGACTTCTATTAAATTTTGATGATAAGCCAGGTAGATACACCAACTTATTCCTTGCTCTGCTACAAATTCCTTAAATACCTTCTCAAATAAGCTTGCAGAATGCACTGGGGAAGAACAGGAAGCTGGAAAAGCTGTGTCTGAGGAGCGAGAGCACATTCTGAGTGCCAGCTCAGCCCCGAAGTGCCCAGGGGAAGCCCTGGCCAGCCCAGCCCTTGTCTCCCTGGGTAATCCCAAGTCAGGCAGGCGGGAGGTGGAAGTCACGAGCGTGGGGTGTGTGTTTGGTGAATGAGCTGTGTGTGTCACCATCCAAATATGCTGCTTTCCCGCTTGGTTTCCCTCTTCCCTTCTGTCAGCTCGGATGTGTCTCCTGCTCCTCATCCACGCTGGGACGGCAGCACCTAAGCTGGCTCAGCCTCCAGCTGCCACATCCCTGCCCCATGCCTCAGTGTTATTTTTCCCTTTGTCTCTTACTGTTGCAAACTGAGAGAAATGGATGATATTTATTGTAAATATTAGACTTTAGCGTTGTGCTGGCCACTCCCGGGTCCGAATGTTGGAGGCCTTTGGCTGCTGCTGTACTAAAGAGCGCTTGTGGGGAAGGGGTAGGAGTGACCAGTGGGTTTGTTTGCCACACTTGCATTAAGGTGTGATTTGGAGTAATTTTTTTTTTGTTTTGTTTGTTCGTTTGTTTTTAATTTTTTTTTTTTCTTCCGAAGAGGGGAGGATAAAGTCTTTCTCTGGTTTTCTCTTACTGGATGTGAAGGATAATTCTGTACTTCTAGTAGAAGATTTGACAGAAGTGTGTGTTTACGTTGTGTTCGATTACCATATCCAGGTGGCTGTGAGAGCACCTCCTGCGCTGGGCTCTGCCAAGCCGTGTCACTCAGCACTTAGCTAGATAAGAGAAAGTGTGGAATTTCTGTGTTTTTAGAAACTTGAACAATTGCCACATAATAGCGGTGCAATAATTTTTATTCATGTTGTACCTGCATGTCGATGTTCAAATCCTCCTCCAAAATAAATAATTTTTTTTTTTTTACATAAATCCAAACTCGTGTTTGTCTCTTGGTTGGTCTCTCCTTGCTTTTCTACCATGCCAGGAGTGGCTGTTTTCCCCCCACCTGCCTGCTCAACCAGCTGCTTGATGGGGCAGAAAATAGCCCGTGGAGTGTCTGGGTATCGAAGTAACTCTGCCAGGCTGTTTGGGATTTTCTGCTCCACAGGCCGGGTGTGTGGCTAAGCCAAAGCTTTCCACTGTGAGACTCAAGCCCAAAATTAACATCCTCCACCATATCTGTAAGTTTGTAGTGTCTTGTGTCCCTGCTAACACAGGGTCCTGATGGTAAAAATTTGTAAAAGGGGTAAAAAGGGTAAAAGCTCACTGGGCCGAGCAAGGTGAGGATRTGGCTGGCCACAAGTGCACACCATGGCTGATGGGTACAGGAATTGCATGCACAATAAAATCCAAAGGGCAAGGGCTTGGATTAGCCAAGGGGCAAGAGCCAGCAGGGTCTACGTGGCCCCTTTTTCACTCATTTATTTAAGCAGCTTTGATGCACCACCCAAAACCTTTCCAGAAACAGCCCTTTGCTTTTAACGTTTGCAGGTGCGCGCTTTCCACGTGGAAAAGCCTTCAAAGGCTATTCCTGTCCTTGGAAATAGAGCTGGGGAGACATTCGCGTCTGGAGGGATTGGGCTAATCCTCATTCGCTGCCGCCAAGGATGCTCAAAATATCCCGTGTCTCCGTGCTCGGGAGCAGCAATCGGGGGCGAAGCTCCATCCACAGGAGATCGGCGGTGCCTCCGCCGGGCGTCATCGCTGACGTGCGCTCATGAAACAGTGATGTCCCTGCCCACGCCRAGCGGCCCCGGGGACGGTGACACAAGGAAAGGACAGCGGGGCTCTCTCGCAGCGCCGAACTGACCGGGCTGGCGTGGCAAAGGCTCCCGGCTCCAGACAGGGATCGGGTAGGGAGAGGGAGCTGGCTCTGCCCCACAGCCCAAATCCAGAGCATTGACACAGGGCCTAAGGTGGGAGCATCTCTTTGGATGAGTAGTTGTGATTGAAGAGCCTTTCAAGTTACATTTTCATGGAAACATAGGTATTTTTCTCCTTTARGGCTCATTAGCTGGAGTTTAACTAGGGTTAAGTTTAATGTCCACAGCCATCCTGTGAAAGTTTCCCCAGTCAGGAATAAGTAACTCTTAGTACATAACAGTTTATCCTTCCAGAGGATTAAGCCACAACAACTGTTAAAAGCTGTTTTTATCTCCCAAATGATGGCATGCAYGTGAGCAGCCCAGTGTGCTTTGATGTCCTCTTCCCACCACTGAGATTTGACTCCTTCCCGCAGGATCAGAGGGAATCTCTGGGCAAAGTCCCACTGCCAACAGCCTGACTGCCTGCAGGTAACCTGGAATTTCGAAGAAGGGAACTGGAGGAAAGCCAGAACATCGTGCCCAGGTGCTCGGCCTCCCTCCAGAGCACGGATGACACCAGGGGTGTGGGTTCCATCCTGTATGGGCCATTCCCCTAACAGCTGGACTCATGGTCCTKGTGGGTCCCTTCCAGCTCAGAATAATCTGTGATTCTGCAGACAGCCTGCCCTGAATGGAAGCTACAGCTGTAATTGCTGTTGATGAAGCAGGGACTGGAGAAGAACCTGGGGCCCCTCGTGTGTTGCACCCCACATCGCTGACTGAGCCCGGTGTGGGTCCAGGGGGGCACTGAGGGCAGGACTGAGCTCTGCGGGATGTTCTGATGTCCATGTGGCTCCACAGGGTTAACTCTTCCTATCCAGCTCTGCTCTCTGCAGCCTCATTCCCCGTGGCCATGGAAGCGCCCASGGCTGGCCTGCAGCCACCCCCTCTCCAGCCTCCATCATGTGCCACTGGGCTTTATATTTTAAACGCTGATTAGGGCTGACCTCATATTTCAGAGCTTACTTCATAGTCACTAATGAGGGATTAGGAATGTTAAGCTAATTAGCAATCAGCAAACGAGGGCTCAGTCAGTCTTCTCAGCCTGACAYGCTGTCAATGAACAAGTTATTTGATGATTATCGTAAACCTGCTCAAACGGGCTGCCTAATTCTGATGGGCAGCAGGGAACCGGGGCGAGCTGCAGCTCAGGTGATGGCAGCCCATGGCCCCACAAGGCCCTGGCCACTCTCCACAGACTGGAGGGTGCAGAACACCTGCTCCTGAAGTCAAAGGATTTAAATAAGTAAAGAAATTGAGGTGGGGTTTTTTTCCATCTCAAATTTATTGAGTTTGGTCCAAACTTCCCAGCCTCACTGTTTTGGGAGAGGCTTTACCTGATGGGCTGCCTAAGGAGGAATTTGGCCACTCCTGGATACTGTTCAGCTCCAAAAATACCCTCAAACCAAACCTTTCCTGCTGGGAAGCCTCCTCTCAGACCAGCCAGAGCAGTCTGGCTTTCGGCTGGGTTTCAACTCCCTGGGTCATTAATTATCCCGTTATTTTGATTTACTCCACACCACACCCTCTGCTCCCCGAAGGAAGCAGGGCAGCCAGGTGGYATGGTGGGATGGGGGATAAACTTAGCAGAGACCTGATCAATATTTCCCACTGGAAAGGGGAGAAAAAACAACCCCCAAAATATAAAACCCCAGAGCGCTTTTGGGAATGAAGCAAAGGGGGAAATTAATGGGACTAATGGGCTGTCCTGGCTGGGAGGGCTGCAGGGTTGCTGGGATCTGTCCTTCCTGTTGTTCTTCCACTCTTTTCAGGGTTCTTAAGACCTGAGGAARCTCCACACCTGCTGATAGCCCAGGTGGACAGGGGGCTTAGCCATGTGCCACGCTCCTGCTGTGTTCAGGGTCAGTATG